TTCAGAATCGTGTCCATGCTGATCCCGGCCACCAGTAAGGCCCGGGTGCGGCGCACTGGCATCAGCCCGCTGCACCTGGCCGCGGAGCGTAACCGTGACGACGTCCTGGAGATGCTGATTGAGGCGGGTTTTGACGTGAACGCTCAGCTATCAGAGGAGCGCTCCCGGCTCTACGAGGACCGCCGCAGCACCGTGCTGTACTTCTCCGTCTACAACAACAACGTGGAAGCGGTGCGCAGTCTGCTGGCGGCGGGCGCCGACCCCAACCTGGACGTGTTCCGGCCCCTGATGGTGGCCGCCCGGCTGGGCTGCACCCGCACCGTCTCCCTGCTGGTGGAGCACGGCGCCGACATCAACGCCTCCATCCCCACCCACCCCACCACCTTCCCCGCGGTGTACATGTTCTCCATGAAATACCTGCCTCTGTTCAAATACCTGCTGGATCAGGGGGGCGACGCGCTCTCCTGCTTCGACTGTGTGTACGGCGGCCAGCTCCATCCGCCCATAAAAACCTCCCGATCAGGAAGAAACGACGGGGACCGAACGCCAGAGGCACCGCTGAGAGGTGTCCAGGTGAGTTCTGTTCACACTCTTCAAACATGAGACACAGGTACAACTTCTGATTGGAATAGTTTGAACGCAAAGGCTGTGATTGCCTCATTGACAGTTCTGTGAGATGATATCCGTCTCCAGTATCTCTCGGTGGGCGGGGCCAATCATCGACGTCCTACTGGATTATGTTGGTCACGTGACTCTCTGCTCCAGGCTGAAGGAACACCTGGACAGTTATTCTGAATGGAACACCATCAAGGAAAAAGCAGGTGAGTCAAAGAGAGATCATTTTCCATGATTAAATGTTCAGTTCATTACATAAATATTCAAAGTTACATGTATATATATTTGTTGTTAGAATAGAGCAAAAAGCTTACGATTGGATCCTCCTAAATGTGGATCAGATTTCTGTGAAAACTGTTGTTGAATCTGGAAGTGTGTTCTTTACTGATCAGAACGCTGCAGGGGAGCAGAGTAGAAGGTGTGATCTATACTGGGGGGTTCAGCAGGGCATGTGGGTTAGGGTTAGGGTTAGGGTTAGACCCTTTTTTAAAGGTCACCTGCATTGGTCACCTGTTGCACCAATGGGTTTTTGAGCTGACTACTGTTTGAATGGATTTCTGTCTGTTCCTGTGCAAGAATGAGACCATGCAGAGCATCTCATGAGAGATGCTAGAGAAAAGAGACAGAGAAACTAGGTGGCGCCCGTCCAGGGTGACCCACCTCTGGCTGCTGTCTGCTGGGATAGGCACCTTCACTTCATGACTCGGTGGAAGGTTCCTTTATTCTGTTCTTGCAAGTTGACCATCATCTTCTTTTATCCAAAGTCCAGAGTATTGTGATGTCATATAAAATGTATCCCTGTAGTCACCTTTTTGGATTTTGGATGAATATCTGTGTGCTGGCTCAGATCCAGTTCCTGTTCTTACTGCCGGGAAGCTGAACTTAGAAAGCTTGTGTATGTTCATAGGTGTTCTGGACTATGCTATGTAATCTGATTGGTCAGTACTGTCTATTGGGCTGTGGATCTGTGCTCTGTGTGCTCTGTAATTGGCCTGTTCTCTTTTTCTGTTGCAGCTCCCCCGCGGCCGCTGATGCAACTCTGCAGACTTCAGATTCTTCGGCTGGTTAGACGTCGGCAGGTGAAGAGGTTACCACTTCCTGGAGGTCTGATCCGCTTCCTTCAACACCAGCAGATGTCTTTGGATGACTATTGAAAATATTTATTTTGGACAAGTGGAAACCATGTTGCTAATTTCAAATGTATGAGTCACTGGAGACCCAGAAAGGGGCTTTTAATCAACAGACAAAGAACCGGTTCCGGTTTTCATTGAACTCTGCCAACCTGAGAGTCATTAGGTGTGTCTGTATAATTCTGCCTGCTCATGATGAAATGTTGTGAAACTGCTGTTTTTGTTCCTTCATTCTGTGAGCGATCAGGAAATCAACCATTCAGGGTTCCACCTTCTTGGTCAACATTGTAAATTTAGCCAGAACACAGTTCTGATTCTGAGCTTAATCTGTAAAATCTTTGGGTCACCATGGACTTTAATCTGAGCTGAAAATCTGGGTATCTTAAATATAGATACCCAGTGATTCTCCCCAAAAATTGCAGTTACAGTTAAGTAATCTGAAGACTGAGTGGATAAATAATCTGTGTGGTTCTCACTTGCAAAGCGATGTGTTCACAGAGCTTTCTGATATAAACATCTGACAGTTCATCTGTACCTTCAAACTCTGAGTTCCTATTCAGAAATGTACATAAAGTCCGGCTGGACCTTCCTCTGTCAGTTTAAGTCCATGAGCTGACATCAGTGTGAGTTTTTGTTGCTGTGTGATTATAGTGTCAATATTCAGTGATACCATACAGGTGATGTCACTTCCTGTTCTATTTAACAGTTTTTATTGCAGGCGTCTGACACGTTAACAGCCAGTAGCAGACACCGGTCTGAGGTCAACGACCTTCCATTAGGAGTGATGATGTCACCTCTGAGTTCTCTGTCCTTTCAGGAGAATAAACGTTTCCCACAGAGTGATACGGTCAATGTTCGGTTGTGGTTTGTGATCTTCGTGTGAGGAGCTGGGTTCTGATCCGCACTGTTGATCAGGCAGTGAGTCTTTTGGTAGGCTGGATGTAACTGAAAGTAGTTTTTGGTGTTTATAAACGCCATCTTCCCAATACAACCTACTGGTAGCAGCTTCTCTGTCCCAATTGGTCCATTTCCAGGTGTCATGCAGCATGCCTTGCTGCAATTGGCCCATTTCTTCTGAGGACTAATGTCTTATCTGGAGCTGGCTGATCACAGGTCCTCACCCTCCAGCTTTGACGGAGCTGAAAACCCTAAAATGCGCCTGGAGGCAGCAGCAGTGAGGATTCCCCGCCCGTCCTCGCCTTCGTGCCGTTTCTTCAGTAGATTCAGAGCAGTGGGCTGAACAGTGCTGGACATCTTTGGAGTATCTGGGCTGAACTGGGATCAGGAATGATGTTGAGGCTGACTGTTCCCCTCTTAACTTTCTTTTGTTTTTGTCAGGTGAGATTTTTCACACCCATCAGCCAGATCATTAAA